GTCAGTAGCTCCTTAGCTGCGATTTCACTCAGCAGCCTTAAATTTAAACCCGTACGTCACTGAGAAATCCACCTCTGGCAATGAACCTGTGCACGTCTGTATGTGTGTGCTTATGTGTGTGCTTAGGTGTGTGCTTATGTATGTGTTTATGTGTGAGCTTCGGTTGCTCTTGCAGAATATTTTGGCCGGGGTTCCTGGCTTTACCTGTTGTGGGTGTGTATATATTTCCCCCATCTGCATGAGTTACATGGTTGATGTAACTGTACCTCAGTGGTACACTTGCGTGTTTATCTACGTGGTTTTCGCTGTGTGTACGTAGAAGTACATACATTTTGACTGTTAAGGTTAGGGATTGCCACTTGGTTTTCAGCCCTAATGAAGACCACGTGCGCGGCTGACACATGTCGCTTGGCTTCCTTTAAATTCTCCCCCTGTAGCCGTTTAGGTGATGCCATGTTATTTTCCACTTAAGATGAATGGCACTGGTTGTTGTTTTTATTTTTTTTCATAGTTATGCTTTTTGGTTTTACTGCTACCGCTTTATTATGCAAGCAAAGAAACCATCTCCAGATTTAGCTCCCAGTTACTCTGCAAAGAGTGCCAACACAGCTGACCTCAGAAGACCTCAAAAGACTTCCCATTCCTGCAGCCTCTTTGCATGTTTGCATGTAATGCTCGCCTTCTGTGTTATATTTTCAAAGCCACGAGCAGGTGCAGTTATCCTTATTCACCTATAAGAGCCAGACCATATTCATTTAGTGTTTCTTTCATAAAATTAATCCTCCAAACAGGATATAATCTCTCCTCTATTTTACCAGACTATTGCTGATGGTGAAGAGCTTTGAATTAGTCTCTCACTCTAATCTCCATTTTCCTTTGCCTCTTTAATCTTTTACCTTTATATCGACATGATATGACTTGTTGTATTTTATGAAAGCTGATATGCCTGTGCAAATTCATTGTGAGCCGAAACAGTGGAATAATGCCCCTTTTCTACGTGTCTATTTTGTTTTCCCTTATGCAAAACTGTATTTTTTGTGTTATACTTGCTAAAATCAATCTTGCTTTATCTCTGCGTTTGTCTGCAAACTTTTTAAATTCTTTGTTGTAGCTCATTCTAGTTTTATTCCTTTGAGTATATGTCGTTGTATCATTTTTCACCTCTACCTCTGTTATTAGAAATATAGCACTTAAAAAAAAAATCCAAGATCTTATCCACATAGGAATAAAAACTGTTTTGGCTACAGTTAAACAAAGCAGACAAATTTAATAAAAGTGCCTCAAGAAGGTTTTCACGCTCACATGAAGTGGAAAATTGCTTTGTTAATCGGGAATCTGCACAGTAAACACTAATGCAAACACACTGGGAGGCTGGCAAAATACAGGTGGGGCACAGTCTAGATTTAAATTTAATTGCAAAATGGTTAAATATTTGTTACCGAGAGTTTAGTAGAAAGTCAATGTCTTTTTAGTGTCTGCCCATTCAGAATGAAGCTACATCCAGCAGCTCATAAGTTTACTTTAACATAAAAAACTCAAAGCCTTTTTTATAACTCAGTTTATGTGAAAATTAAACAAACTAGACTTAATTTGTGACTTGGGGAGCTTTGTCGGTGGATTGTGTTACATTAAAATGGAGCCTATCTAGCTGCTTCAACCCGCTCCCAGTCATTGTGGCTAAGTCAGGCTAGCTGTCCTCTTGGTCCAGGTCAATATAAAAAGGAAAGACATTTTGCCAAGATGGACATAAGCATATTTCCCAAAAACGTCCAACAATTCCTTCCAAAAAGTAGGTTTGATGGTCTGAAATGAAAAATCTGGTCAGACAAGAAATGTGCCTTTTCTTTTAGCTGAATGTTTGAAATATAGCCAACAGTAGCTTCAAAGAAAATCATTCAGCACAAGGAAGTTTCAGACTTTTAAATGAATGAATGCTCGTAAGTGATGTATTTCTTATTTCTGTACTTTCCCAGGTAGGGCAGTTCAGTCAATTTCTCCATGAATGTACGTCACAATGATGATGACAGACCAGATTCCGCTGGACTTGGCTCCGCCCCCCCTCCTGAACGGGGAGGTCCCTCTCATGCCTCACATGGTTAACGGCGATGCGACACAGCAGGTAAATACTCGCTCACGCTGACACGAAGAAACGCGCACGCATGTCTGCAATGTGCATTTCCTGTTTAACAAACATGTTAGTCAGACGAATGTAACAGTGTACATCAAACAGTACAGCGCACACTTCTCTGTTGTCAGTTGAGCACATACCACATAGATTGTTGCCATAAAAATTGCTAGAGAAAAGCCCTCGTGTGTCACAGAAGATAAACTACTAAATACATACAGGTATATTCAAATGCATTACTTATTCCTTTGGCGCAGCTTTAAAGGCAAGGTTTAAAACACTGAATGGCTTTATTGATAGATTTCAAGCCTTTACGTGTGCAAACTTGCAATAGTTTGCACACGGACATCTGCTTCTCTGTGACAGACCGATCTTATCAGGTGCTGTAGAGCCAACTGGATCACCTTCAAAGTACAAAACCGCACCCGGGCTTTGCACAGGCAAAAGGAAGCGATCGGCGTAATGAAAAGCATCACAGTTAATTCACCTCGGTCTAATCTTGTTGTCACACACACACACACTTTTTTCTTTTTTCCCCCCACACTGTGTGTTTTTGGTATATGAAGGATAATGATGCTTATGCACCATCCCCAGCCTGCTCCCTCACAGCCCAGAGGAAACATCGTGGGAGTGTTTTGGCTGCAACACATAACAGTTATGGGGGGGTTTTGGCTGCGGCACACAGCAGTTAGGGCTCTCTTTTTATTCTAACACCCTGCAGTTTAAAACTTGGTTCCCAGTATGGAATCAGTGATCTAGACCGATGATTATATAGATTTGACTCTGCGTGTGTGTGTCTATTTGTTTGTTTCTTGGTCTGTCTGCGTGTACGTGTGTGTATTCATTTCTGTGTGGGCACGCAAGTGTCTGTGTTGAGTCTGAATACATACTTACGTGTTTGTCGGCTTGCTTTAGTTTCAGCTTCCTTGTTTCTTTATCCACCTACCTTCACCTGTTTATGATTGTGTTTATCAGTCAGTGGCTTTGGTACATGCAACGAGATCATGTATACATACATGACTGTTTTTGTATAAGAGCGTTCTGTCATAATTTGTCTGTAAAAACAAAATTCACTATGGAGACTCTCTCATCACATCAAATCCAACAGTGTGTTCAAATTCTTAGTTATATTTTCGAAGAATTAGTTGGTATCTAATTATCTATTGTGATTAAAACAAATATCAAAATACTTTTAATTGTCCTACTGTAATAGTATTTAAATATATAGAAACCTGACATAGCTGCATAATAACGTGCATCAATGTAGTCAATGAGAGGCTCCAGTTACAACCTTCTAGCTATATTATTGGGATCTACTGTATTGGTCACATTTCTTTGTTGTAGGACGGTCAGTTAGTTTTACATGCCGAAGAAATGCCTGTAAATCGTTTTATTCAGTTTCAATTGGAGTGCTGGCCTTCTCATCCTTCTGAGAGTTTATAACCACATAATGGACTTAGGTACGCTAATTTATTATTGACTATTATTGCTTGAGCTATGAAATCCATCTGCACTCTGATTAAAGACATTTATTTTAGTTATTATCTGTAAAGTACTGTCCAAAACATTTGCAATATTCAGGCATTCATATCCATTTCCATATCTGACTACTGTTATGCATGAGACTTGTAAGCCATAGTGGAAGGGGTCTGTTTAAATCTGACAGCCTAAATACAAATGTATTTGTGTTTCGGCTATCTACTTCTTTTGTTTATGATCAGTGCATCAGAATTATGGGTCAGAGACTAGTGAGTAAAAAGGAAGGACACTCTTCCCTTCAATATTTCTGAGGAATTTTCTTGTTAACCTACGGCAGTGATAGTAGTGAGGAAATGGTGCAAAGCTTCTCTGCTGTACTTGTTATAGGTGCCTTTCCAGATAAATATCTAAAGAGAGAAAGAAACACTAAAAGTGGACCGAACACAGTTCAAAACATAAAAGCTTTAGTGACAACCATGTTGGTGTGAAACCAGTGTAATGTACAAGATCTCAATGAACATATTCACAACACCTCAGAATCACTTCAGACCTTAAGGAACATGAGAGCAAAGATGGTAACCCATGCAGTTAATGATATAGCTCAACAACATCACACTACCACTTTCAGACCAAAGAATGCCATTTGCATTCAAAACTATAAGGTGATGTAATTGCACTAGTTGTAATCCTGTTTCAGTTACTCTTTTGCAGAGAAAGTCTATGGAAGTGAAAATAGACCCTAAAACCTAGAACTGTGAATGATATCCTGTGGTCCAAAAGTGCCCATAGAAACATTGAGTGAAATGTTTTCAATATGCCACTTTTTATGTAAAATGTTGAATAATGTCAGTATGGGTTTGCTAATTTAACTTCCCGTGTTTAATAAAGAGCCCTGCTCTTGCACTTATGTTATTTGTAATTGATGCCTTTTAAAAGGAGCTTTTAAATCATAAATCATAAGTGGTTACACTTAGAAGCCTTTTCTGGTTTTAATCTTAAAACTAAATATGCTTGTTTTCTATAATCCTAACTAAAGGTAGAAAAATTGGGTCACTTTGACTTAATCACTACTGACTGAGTCATTATAGTCTTATTAATCAGTCATAATATCAAAACAAATGTGCTTCATGATTATTTTGCGCATTGAGTGATCTTGACATGTGACGGTATAACAGTACACAGACACACACATACACACCTACATGGTCTAATGCAGGGGTTTTCTCAATCCTTGGGAAACATGGGTCACCCTGTGCTGGGGGTTCCCATAGCAACAGCAGCCGCTGCAGCAGACAGAGCAGGAAGTGTGTGAGTGTGTGTGACTGAGGGAGAGGAGCAGGTTAGCGCTGAGATGGGAGAAGATGCAGTCACTACAGAGGGAACGTAGGATATGAGGATTTTACAGCAGCACACCTGTAGAGCATAGACAGGGCTGTGCCTGTGTGTGCATGCGTGTGTGCCTGAATACGTGTATGGGTGTGTGTGTGTTTGCGTGCAATGGAGGGGCACCTGTTTCATGTGTACAGCCACGTGTACACTCTGAACAATCTGTATGCGGAAAATATGACGGTAAGGTGCATGCGTTCTCCCCTCAGGCACATTAGGCAGAAGCGCTGAGAAATCGAAACGGTGTCATGTGTTTTGAATTCATTTGTGTGCGCTCACCTGTCTGTGTGTGCTTCCATCTGTCTGTTAAATGCATTTGTGCATACTTGTTTTATTCTTGTAAGAGTGGTTAAAAGATGAAGGTTTTTCTTAAATAAGAGTCTGTGAGATGGCAGCAATAGTGTCACCATTAGCTTATCTAACACCTCATTCATATGTGTGAACTCTCTGCCGAACTATGAGAGCCGATGGTTATTGTGTTATGTCACTGCTGCAAGCTCTGCCTAGCTGAGTATCTGTCCTGTTCTGTGATTGCTAAAGAAAAATGTTTTCCCCTTAAATTATAGATATTTTGTCACGAAGTTTGATTGATTCTTTTTGTTTGGTTTTATTTATGTGTTCGTGCAGGTAATCCTGGTGCAGGTGAACCCGGGGGAGACGTTTACCATCCGGGCAGAGGACGGCTCACTGCAATGCATCCAGGGTCAGTCCTCTACGATATTATTACGTTATCATATTAACATGTAGCCTGGTGGCCGCTCTGATGTTTGTCACTGTGAGACAGAGTATTACCCATCATTTTAATTATATCCTGGCTGAACAAGATTTAAATGAGATCTTTGGGCTGACTCCTAAAAGTTAAAAACATTTACGGAAAAACAAATAATGTTAATGCAGTCGATGCTTAGAAATCTTTGATTGGTAAATGCGAAAGCAAATATTCGACTTTTACATTGAGTATTATCCATTACCAGAGAAAACTATAGCAATTTCAAAGGAGTAGCTGTCCAATAAAGTCTCAGAGAGTTTTCAAAAGTCTTCCTTTCTACCTGGTCAGACTTAAATCCCGGACAGTCTGCCAGTACATGGTAGAGCCAACACAGAGAGACAGACATTTCAGTTCTCATGTGTTGCAGGCCAGTAAGTTACTTATTTTTAGACAGTCCGTATTAGTGTGACTGTATCATTAACCACCACAATGGCTAACGGTTTAATGGTTTATTTTTCTAATCAGAAAGCCAGGAAATGAAGTGTTTTCCAGCTGGATTTCAACTCTTTTGAAATTCCGAGTGTATATATAGGACTACAAATGCAGAAACTCCAGAAACGGTGAGAACTTTTAGTAGACTAGTCAATAATGCAGGAAGAACTTTGGAAGAGGAAAAGGAAAGCAAGTGGAATGGGATCTAAGGGTGTTATCTCCAAATGAAGTACAGCTAGTTGAAAGCATAGTCTACACAATGACAGATTTAGACAGAGTGGGCAGCCATGGCTTCACTGTGGTTGCATCTGATAGCAGTGCATGAAAAGACTGGAAACATAAGCCACTTAGGATCGCTCAAAGACGGAAGGAGGTGGCAGTAACACAACTCTGCTGAAATTGTGTCTCACTTTGATGATGTCAGAAATGTAACTTTGAAAGGACATCTTTGTTTAATTCTCAGTCTTTTTCAATCTGCGTCTTCTTCACTCGCTCCTTCTTTTTTTTTCAGCCTTTGAATTTTTTTTTCTGTAAGAAAGAAAGACAGACAGCAGTCTCGACTCAGTCACTGTCGCCCATTTATTAAAAAAAAAAAAAACGAAACAAAAAAGACGCATTACCACAACACTGTGTTGTAACAAATGGCATCCCACCACCTTTTCCTCCACCCGCCTTGTAATTCAATTTTCCCCTCAAATCAGAGAGACTGCCCCAGGCAGAGCTATGGGCACAGATAAAGCCAGATAGAAACGGTGCATGATTTAATGGATGTATGCAAAGATGGGAAGATACAGTTGCCAGATAAGATAAGTGAATTAGTGACTTGTAGAAAAACAGCTAAACGACAGACGAAAGAATGGTTTAATGCAGAAAGTGGATATATGAGAGGGATACCAGACAGTGATTTGCAAAAAGACACAGTACTGATGCAGCTGGGATCTGCCAGCTTTCTGTTTGTTTGTGTGGCTGCGTGTTTGTACTTGAAAATTTGGCATCGAAGGCACAACGTGTGTCTTTGTGCACCTTTCTGGTGCCTTTTACTACAGTCGCAGACAGCAAATTAGGTGGAACATTACAGGCTTTGAGCCCTCTTTGAATGCAGATATTATTAATGTGAAGGACCACACACGCACAAACACACATACGCACAAACTTTCTCTCTATCTTAGTCGGCAAGAGGTCACTGAGTTTAATGAAAGGTGGAGTGTGGCAGTGTGTTCCGAAGGATAACTGAGTTGCGCTTTAGAGAGACTCGGTGTGATTAGTGAGACCTCAGAGGTTCGTGTTCGCGCATGCTTGTGTATTTGTGGCCCTGCTCGTGTGTTTGCATTGCAGTGTACTTGTGTGCAAGTGTGTGCGACAGAGCAAGATTACAGAGACCTCAGGGCACAGCCAGGAACCAGCTTTTATATAAAGTAACCTCTGTTTAGCTGCTGCAGTGTGGTACGTGCATGCATGCAAACATGCATATACGTACACACGCAGACGTGGATGCTCTGCCAAGGCAGGACCAGCCTGAAGACGTCAACGCAGCAGCCAGAAAAGATTCTTTCATATGAACCACAAGACCTTCCTTCTCCTCTCCTCACTTCTCTTCCCTTCCTTCCTCTCATCATCTTTTCCTGCTACCTCCCTCCCTTTTCCTTTTTATTCCTCTCGTTCATCTGTCTTGACCTTAAGGCAAACCTGGAGCAGAGAAGAGGCTATTGTATTTGCCGGATTGATGTTAAGTACTGCTCATTAACCACACCCCTGCTAACTGCTACAGGCTCAATTATGTTCTTTTATTTTAGCTGAAAGCTTACATAAAATCTTACTAAAGTCCACGAATCCCATAACCTCAGGGCGCATGAAATCCTTTCAGAGCTTTTTTTGTGCATATTGAAATAATTCACAATGCTCTAAAATTTATATTTAAAGACATTTTTTTTTTTTTTTACCACTTTTCAGATATGTTAGAGATCTGTCTTTACCATCTCTTTTTTTGTGTCCCTTTCTGCGTGTTCCTTGATCCAGTGAAAGACTGTATGTTGACCTGAAATCCTTTCCAGCAACTTATTAGCATCATTTCTGCATGTGTATGACTGCATGTCTCCATCCCTTGTTGAAACAGCATGACCCTTCAGTGATCCAGGGGCTAGATTCATCTGACCCCCCACACACACTCCTACCCTCTCACTGTTCCCACCTTCCCCCTCCTCCCTTTTGCCCCCCGCCCCCGCCTGTCCCCCCCGTCTGTCCCCCTCCCCCACTAAGACAATTCCCCTGAGCTTTCCCACACTCACATCAAAGGACAAGACTCTCGAGGGTGTGTTAGAGCACCCTGCTCTGGAATGTGAGTGTGTTAATATGCGTTGTGTGCGCGTGTGTGTCTGTGTGTGTTTTACAAGGCTGTGTTGGTTTACTGTGTTGTTTGGTCTTTGTTGGACTTTTACGAGGGATGATGAGGCCAGAGGGTGAAGAGCAGGAAGCTGTGCCCTGCCTGGGAGAATATGACATCATGAAGTTTGGGTGGCACCAGCTTAATTTCTTCTGAAATTTAGGGCGTAGTTGATAATAACCACAAGGTTTAGTTGATTAGTTTTCTAGTTAATGAGTTGTAATTCTGTAAGTCCTCAGTTTACTGGCTGCAGTGTTTTTAAAATGCATTTCAATATAATACATGGGGTTTGTTTGCCTTGGTCTTCTGTGGACAGTTGGAATTATCTATACTTCTCTGTTGTAATATAATAAATGTATATGTGAGGCTGAGAAGTATGAGTAGTAACTGTTAGTGTGTCCTTCACAGTGAATGGAGAACTTTCACCTCTTGTATTGCTTAACGCTATGATTTTGGGTTTTTGTTAATTGACTGTGCTTGGTGGAGCATGTGTGCTAAGGCTTGTTGTGTTGCTGCATGACCCGCTACCAAAGAACCAAACCGAACATCTTAAAAAGCCAGAGCCATCACCAATGTTCCCTCTAAGCTGAGCACGTGAGCAATCGCGCACTGCTGACACGGGGGAACAGTGGCCAGCACCATGGAACACCGTTCCTCTGATTGGGCATGCTTTGCAGAATGAGGCACTCAAGATCCATTTCACCAGGTTGGTGGCAGTACAAACAAGCAAATGTATCATAAAGAAAGCCTTTAAAGTGGAATATCTGTGAAAAAAGTCTAATAGCCCCACATCCAGGATGTCTTGTTTCCACAGAAACTTTTTTTTGGCACATTGGTACTACGATGGGATTTCAATCGGTAAATTCTTTCCTTAACACAAGAATGGTTGGTTTAGAGCAATGGTGTCAAATAAAAAGCCTGTGGGCCAGAATCAGCCTGGTGAAGACTTGAATCTAGTGTAGTTTAAAGATTTGGAAAATGTGGAGGTGTACAAAGATTTTGGACTTTCGGCTGTGTTTTACAGTAGTAGCAGTAGTACTTCCCCATTGGCATTCATACTACATGAGTAGTTAAGTAGTAGTAAAATAGTTAAGCAATAGGATGACAATTAAATGGCAGAAATGTTCTTGTTTTTAGAATCTACTATAAAAATGTTGGTTAAATAAAAGGAATTAACCAAAACTTTATATTTTATAAATACTGGACAGTCTGGACAATGCTGCCAAAATCTTTTCTTTAATTTACACACAGATCATGTAGAAAAACTGGGACGTACTGCTGAAATTGCACTTCGTTTTCTGATATTAAGACATCTCAGGGATCAAATGTTCGGTTAAGTGTTCTTACAGTGAAGGAAAGTGGAGTTTCACTGGTCCAACCCACTTTAGAACAAACTGGGCTGCATGTGGCCCGTGATGTAAAGTGAGTTTGACATCCCTGGTTTAGAACATTCTCTGTGTTTTCAATTACATTTCTTTTCTGTCTGTGTTACATAATGCAATTCGGAGAGGTCTATGTGCAAAGTATATTTCACTTCCAACTTTTGGTTTGTGGAATTTTTTTATCTTAACAGTATAGAACCCAAAGATTATCCTGCGATTCTACATGCTCTTATTTTGTCTTGTCCCTTGAGAGTAGAGAAAGCTCAAATCACACATTTTGTTCTTTTCTTTATTGCTTTTTCTTCCAATTTTCATGGGCCACGAAAAGATTAATGAAACAATTCTTCCTATAAGAAATATAATCAAATATAAATGCAGGCTGTTGGGACTTCATATTAAGCCAAAAGAATTGGTTGATGTTTCTCCTTTTACGCTGATTTCTGAATTTGGAATGGATGAATTGCATGCAGTCCACTCTCATTGCTGTTATATTGCAGTGGCATAATGGAAAATGTGGTTCTGTTCTCTGCTGAGGCCTTGTTAGCCCAGGCATTTTTTTTCTCTCTGAGAAACAATGGTTATGGTGGACCCTGCCAGTGTTTCTCTGCATCTGGACACAGCAGGGTACTGTATGAATCATGGCAAGATCTGCTGTCTTTTGCCATTAGAGGTGTGCGCTCTGCTCATACCTAATCTTTTTGGATCCCCCCAATTATTACTCTCTTCCCCTGTTCCTTGCT